AACGCACGCATCACCACAGCCGTCACCGGGAGAAGGAGCACAACGGCGAGCATTCGGCCAAACATAGCTCGGGCTCGGCATCAGGCAGTCGATTGCTACGCTCCACGCGTGTCAGCGAAACGAGTCGCCCACGCACTAGCTCACACCGAACAAGTGAGCGAGAGCGAGAGCGGGAGCGTGAACGTACAAGCGGCACTGAGAAGCACCGAGAAGAGCTCACACGCTCGCGTGGTAAGTGTACAGCTGTTCGGCTTTAAGGTGTATTCCTCGTGCAAACTGCTACGTCATAACCCATTTGCTATATACCTATGTATGTCTATTGCAGAGTTACTTGTTTTGGGCTTGCTCATAATGGGTGCCACACAGCCGATTCGGCTGCGCAAACGTTTTAGGTTAGCTAGACCCAAGTGCCACAGCCATTCATTACGCAAAACTAAGCTGCACATAAAAGGGGCAGCTTAAGCAATAGATCATAGCTTGATGATGAAGTTAAGCGTCAAGGCTGTTGCTTTTTGTTGCTATTTCGGCACTTGTTTCTATTTTCAATACACTGCAGAACTGGGAATGAAAGCTGATTAAAATCAATAAAAATGCAAAATACCTTTATTTTTATGAGCTTTTGTTGCGCTTAATATCTCAATTTAAAAAAAAAATACAGAATATTTTTGCATACTTTGATAAATGGCAAAAGCAATATGTATTAATTATATTTATGGCCAAAAATATATGATTAGATCTGTAACTAAACGAAAGCTTCTCATTCCCAACTGCAAATTTACACCAAGACACCTACTAGCACACACACACGCACAACAAACATGAAACATGCACTTACACACGCAAGCAGTTAGTCTAAACCGAAGTTAACAGTCGTAGCACAGTCAGCAGAATGTTTGTTCTAACCTTTATAGCCGCAAGTTATTGGAGTAATACAATTCATTATATCCGATGCCATCCCACACAGGTCACTCCAGTCGCTCTAGACACAGTGAGCAGAGCGCAGCTGGGCACAAGTCGAGCAAAAGCAGTCGCAGCAATCATCATGACACAGCAATGTCCGCACACAGAAAGTCCACAACAGCCGCTAAAGTAGCAGCAACAAAAGCCACAATGGCAGCCACAGCAACAACGCACAAATCCACAACAACACCAACAACAGCAACAGCAACAACTACGGCACCAACAGCAGCAGCAACAACAACAACGCACAACGAACTGACGTACGTATACGTAACGAATTTAGCCCATACACAAACCGCCGAGGATGCAGACTATGCCAGCATCGATGAGGCAACAGTAACAGTTACGCCCACAGCACTGCCTGCGATCCCGTTGCCGCCGCCGCGTCGCAAACGCAAGCGGTCGCTCCTACCCGTGCCCGTACAGCGGGAAGGTACCACTGCCACGCCCACTGTCGCCTACGAGCATCGCATTAAGCTGGAAATGATACCCCAAACGCCCAGCTACTCGAATCAGTCGACGCTACGCTGCAAGCAGCAGCCAATGCGCAAATCCTCGCTAAAGTGCACACAGTCGACCAGCTCGAGTTTCGCCTTTCTGCCCTATTTGCCGGCCAAGCGCAACTCGAGCGTTAGCCATGTCTATGACAATTATCTGCTGTACGCGGCGCCGGCCACATTGACGGCCTCCAAGCTGCGCCCCTATCAACACAACTTGAGCAACGAGCATGCGCAGCTTTTTGGCAGCAGTGGGCGTGGCGGCGGTATTGTGAGTTCCGGTGCGGCAACGGGCAACGGAGCAACGGGCGCATTGGCCGGCCGCCTGGGCAGCTGGCCAAAACGTTTGCGTATGCGGCAGGTGCGCAGCAGCGTCTCGACACATCAGCCGTTCGGCATCTGCACATGTTCATAGTCAGCGCTGGAGCAGCAAACCAAATAGCAAGTCGCACATGGATGGGCGCAACCGGATCTCGTCACAGTCACAGACAAAAGTTTTCGCTCACGTTCTTATAACCTCCTATGCACGCCAACCAATTTTCCTACCTTTATTTTTGGGCATTCTTTTATAATTGTTTTTAATTTGACTACCTCACGCACGCGAAAAGAAAACAACCAAACGAAGCACGCAAATCAACACGAAATATTAAAAAAACATAAATCGAACAAAACGATTCGCAGTTATCTAACCTGTGTTCCCCCATACTAATACTACTTAAAACTCGAGCGGGCGAAAGAAAATGTGAGTGGGAGAGCAGGCAGAGAGCGGAGGGCTTGTTTTATACTTTGGAGCACACTCGGCCATGCACATAAAAACCCTCACACATACACACAATGAATGAAAATGGTTCTGTTTTTACTTTTCACAGCGTAAGCGAATTTTCAAAATTTTGAAACATTTTTTACTTAAGCAACTGGAAGCATGTTGTGGGTGCACTAGGAACTTAGAATCTAACTGGAAAAACGTTATACGTCTGTAGAATGCGAGACTAACTTTTCAAAGCCAAATAAAAAACATTAATTAAATACTCAACTTTCTCACGCTTAAACCTAATTTGTTTAATCAAAGTATTGGGAAATACAAGAAATGTAGATCAAATAATACCTATGTAGGTTGATTTTAAAACATATAAACCAAGACTTTGTTAAGACTAAAATGGGAAGTTCCAAGGAAATCTTTCAAATTTATAGAACTATAAAATTGTTTACCAAACAGGGAATTTAAATCTTCATTCCGTTATTTATTCAAGAATGTCTTAATAAAATAAAAATAAAACATAGAAAAGTACAATTGCGACAAACAAAAAGTTAAAAAAAAAATAAGCAGAAAAGACTGAATTTATCTCTATTATTTTAAAAGATATAGACAATTTATTTATATATATACATAACACTAAAAATAGTTCCACATTTCAAGAAGAGACAATCTCCTTAAGTTTCTTAAAGTATTCAAGATATTATTTAAGCTTAACAGTAGTTGTTTTATAATTCGATTAAACAAATTAATAACTTTTACGATACCTTTAACTGCATGATTTGAAAAAACTAAACACTCTAAAAAATACTTTATCTAATGCTCTGCTCACACTCTAGTAGCACTCTCTAGTATATTTTAGTATCAATTCTAAAAACTGACTATGAACATGCTGCAAAATAAGAAAAAAAAAAAACTATCAAAAATATCATCAATGAAATTGGAAATGAACTGGCAACAAATAAACATCAACATCGCTCGCTCTATTCTATTTTCTTATGTACCAGAAAACTAAAAGCGGTACTTTAGCAACTGGAACTACGTAGTGGAAGTAGAACATTGGTATACTCTATAAAAAGAATATGTTGTATATATACTATAAAAACAAGTAGCAAGCATATTAAAAAAAAAACAACAACTTTTATAACAAATAACGCTAATCTTAAGTATCTTATTCTCTTACTGCAGACACGGTAAAAGCACACTGAATGGACATCATCATCATCACCAGCAACACCAACACCACCACAGCAGCAGTGGCAGCAAGCACCATGGAGGACAGCCGCCACAGCACCATGTGCACAGTTTAACCACAACGACAATTGCGGCTACAAAGCATCAGCGTGATCGCCATGGCAAGGATAGGAAATAGTTAAGAGGGAACCTTAAGCAATAGCTGAATAAACGAAGCAACGAACACTACTAAAACTAAACTAACAAATAATAGACTAACTCATATATGTAGTTATTTGTATGGCGTGCTTTAAATAAGGCGCTAGCGATGTCAATTTTATATGTATAAATCTGGTAATTTTTGAAATTTTTTACACGTTTACAAAAATTTCAATGTAATTACTAGTAATTGGCAAACATGAAGTAGAAACAGAAACGTTTTACTAAAAACCCAAACCATTAACACTTTATGCGTGCAATTTCCAAGAGCAGTTCCTTCCGCATTCAAACATTTGTTTATATAAAGAAACTAATTTATAAACTGATCAAACTTTGCGCACATTTCGGCATAAGCTCCAAATTTAAGTATTAAACTATGCCACACCCCCATTGACATTGACTAACCTAAACCACAACTATCCCATATGTTTACAAAATTTACAAAAACAAAATCATATAAATATTTAAATAACAAATGATACTCATATATATTCTTTAGTAGATTATAAGTTTTATATTTTGCCTATGCGAAGACCACATTTCATTTATACATTTATTTAAAAAAAAAAGAAAAATTTAGCACAAAAAAGGAAACTTGTGTTTTTTGTAAAGATTTTCTATATTACATTTCGATTTATTATTTTTTAATATAAAAATAAATATTTTCTGAATGAACAATAAGCGTTTTCACGGTTGTTTTTTTGAGTTTTTACTTATGCTACGGGTTATTTAAGTTAACCCTTATATTAAGAGAAAAGAAAAAGTATGGGAAAAATGTAGAAGAAATAAAAGATTAAAATATCTTTTTGGGGCGTGTCAAATTTAGCAGTGATTTTTGTTTTGTTAATTTATATCAATTACGCATATAACGTATACGCCCCATTCAACATTTAATAGTATAGTGATAGAGGATGAAAAACTCTTACTTTCCTATAATGGTTTTACAAATGTGAAATGGTATATGGGTATATGGAAGACCAGTCCTCAAATGTACTTTAAATGTATAAAATAACAAGTAATAGAAAAAAACTATTGATTTAAAGAGTGCCATTTCTTGAACTTTATCTTGTTATTAGTATATGTGAAATATTACTGTGTGAAGTGTATCTCAAAGTCGAACATACACGTTTATTCTAACTTGTTAATGCTACAGTTAGAATTTTGCGAGGTACGTCGACCACTCGTGCAGGCGTTTTTATCTTTTCGCCACTGCGGCCATCTACATATGTAGGTAAACATTTACGTATGTGCCAGCGTATATATATATATATATATATTAATGTATATGTATATTCTAAAAATATATATATAGTTCTATAGACGTTAGAGTGTACTAGATATGTATGGGTGTTGATAAACCCAGTTGAGCACGGCGCACGTCAATGCGATTTTCAGTATATGACTGAAGGGGCCGATCAGTTGTCGCCCAACCGTCGTTGCCAGCGCCAGTTTTATCGAGCCGAAAAGTGAGTAGATATATCAGTGAGCAACGTGTGCCGAGCGGCTCTCCCAGTAATATACATTACAACTAATTTGCACAAAAACAAAAAAAAAGCCCCAACCAAAATGTCTGAACGCTTTAAGACTTGTCAATTGAAAGATAGATTGGTTTAAATGCATAATATTTACCCAATTTTGAAAACTGTTTCCTTTGGTACTGTTTGGTTCAACCGAAATGAGTCATCCATCTGATAAGACAACCATCAATATCAAAATGTGACTAAAACAATATCGTTATAAAATCTATTGTCCATCTATGAACTTGAAATGAAATTGTGTCCAGGTGGGCATGGAAATAATTCAATCCGATTAGATACTGTGAAGCCTTTGAGTGTTTTCAATGTTCGTGAATGTCTTTTGAGTCACATTTATTTGGTTACAATATATTGTTTTCAAAAATGTATTTAAACAGGCATTAAACACATTAAATATATTTCTAACATCAGCTTAATAAGTAACATTTTATAGTTCATTGTCAATTCATTTAAAAATGTATTTGCTTTTTAATGTCGATTGAAAAGTTAAGCAAACTGTGATGAGAATATTAAAAGCAATAACCACTAACAAGTCCATAAAATTAAACAATTTTACTCAAATTGAACAAATAAAAACTTTAATATTAACATATTTATTTATTATAAATTTTTAAAAGTGAATTGAAGGAAATAACAATAAAATTGTTTTTATTAGAAGTAAAGAAACTAGACAGAGATATAATTATTTTATTGATTAATTCGATTTATAAGTAGAAAGAGTATTTATTTTTTTAATGGGAAATACATTAAAAAAGAAACACTTTAATAATTATCTGAGAAAAATCCATTAAATTCATAAACATTGAAATTTTTGTTTTGTTTTTCGTTTGAATAAATACTAAAATAAACACTTTTCAGAATTAACAATTAAGTAACCCGTTTTAAATATTCAATAACCTGAACATTACAACTCTTTTGAAATTCTATACATATAAATATTTTCTTATACTGAATTATAGTTAAGCACTTGTAGGCGAGCGTATTTGTATTGTAAACATATGCGCTGGATAAACACTGAGTTTCACAAAAAAAAAAACATAAATACAACGATTACAATCAAATTTGACGTAAACAATAAATTGATATACGAAAAAATGCTTTTTGGGAGCATTTAATTTCAGTTAAAAAAAATAAATAAAAGAGAGAGAGAGAGAGCAACAACAAATCTGATAAGACTTCTGAAAAAGGGGCTAAACTAAAATTTTTAATATTATTGCTCTCTTGTTTACTCATAATAAAGATAAGAAGGTATAAAATGTACGGCACGCCGAATATTAGATACCCTTGCAGACATATGGCTTACGAATTTGCACATATGTGAAGAAAATAGTGAAGCTCCTAAGTTTAGAATTATGTGTGATATATTAAAAAATGGAACATTTTGCATCACATTCTTCCTATGGAGCCATGTTATGGGCTGGACTTTGTCAACTTATCTGGAAAACAGAAAAGTTGTTCATATATAAATGCCGATCTTTCATATGTCTCGTTCCTTTGCTGTTTTATGGCGTTAGCTTTAAGGCTAAGAGACTTGATTGAAAGAGACGGAAGGACAAACTGAGAAACGTGAGAGTTCTCTCTCATGTGTTACATATTTCAGGTCATATTTATAAAATTCTTTACAAGTATGCTAAGTGTATAAATATGCCATATTTATAAAAGTCGAATCTTTTTTTGAAAAATTAACTTTGCTTGGCATTGCTGGATCTTTTACTTCTGCGCACCGATGCACGGTGGCGTATACATAATATATGTAACCAAGCTAAGCGGTCCTAAGCATATAAATTCATCAATATATTTGCTCACTTTTTACGGTTAAATGGAGTGCTCGGCTGCCATTATCTTATCGCGCCCAAATAGAGTTTATCTTGTCTGAAATTGTGGTCTCAACAGCAGCAACAACAAAAGCAACAACAACAAAAGCCACTTGCTAGTTGACCACATTTGGCTTAAACAAAGTGTTTGCCATATCATTTACCGATAAGACAACGTAATTATTTTTTTTTTTTTTCATTTTATTATTTTTTTTTTTTGATTTGAAACAAAGAAAGAATAACTGACTTTCGTTTCTTTTGGTCGGACCCAGTGCCATTTATTAACGTTTTGACTTGAATACGCGCTGGTTGTGTTTTTGATTATTTTTATTTTAGACCTTGCAGGTACAACTAATGGGAAATAAATAATCTCGTTTATTTTTAACATGAAATGAATATTTATTTTTTTCAGACTCAGAGAGAGTTAAAATTCTGCAACATGTCGCTTCTAACGGGCAGCGCAAATGCGGTGAAGTACACCCTATTTGGATTTAATCTGATCTTTTTGGTAAGTACTTGCAGGCAAAAGCCAAAAGCCACTTACGTCCGGCTGACTCATCATGCAATGCATTAGCTACAATTTATTTTGCATTAGTTCAAAGTCCAGCAACAATTTAGGCAGAGTGCCAGACTGCCGATATGCTACCTTGAACTCATTTACAGATAAGATATGTTAAAAATATATTATTGCTTAAATACAGACACAGCTGGTGTCCAGCCAGATGCATTATCTTCAATGTGGAAGTGGGCTTTGCTGTAGTTCGATTTAATAAATGCTATAACAAAATAATTTGCTTCATTCAAAATGTCTGGGCATATTTCGCTTAGTCTGCGCCAATGCGCATTTTATTTTCTGTTTTGTTCTTTCGTTTTGCCAATTGTGAAATTCTACAAATACTCTGCAATCCACATTTATTTTACTTTATTAGCCTTTCCTGATAAGTTTGGACAGTGATTAATTTTGAAAGCAATTTGATAGCAAATACGTTCCGTTCCTTTGTCACTATCTCTACTTTTATTATTCGAAACACACGAGTTATACATAAGGAACTTTTATGAATTCGACAGAAAACATTTTGAAATATTTTATATTAAATTTAATAGATTTCCCTTAGCTTTTAAGATCATGTTTTTATGGCAATTATAAAAGATGAGTTAAGTGTAAATTTATAAAAACAATTTTTTTTTTTGGTTTTAATCCCAGATTGGATTTGGTTTTAATTCTGATATTGGACTGTAAAAAAGTATTACGCAGTCGGATGCACCCGACTACAAAATTCTTATTGAATTATATTTAATAATACGTATTAAATTAGTAATTATCTTAACTAAGGATTCTTTAGCAATTTAACAATTTATTATTATAATTCACAGATCACTGGCATTATTCTAATAGCAGTTGGTGCTGGAGTAGGCGCCGTATACACTGGCTATGAAATCTTTTTGGCCAGCAAATTCTTTTCGATACCAACATTTCTGATTGTGATTGGAGCGTTCATCATTGTGATAACCTTCTTTGGCTGCTGGGGTGCGCTCAAGGAGAACTATTGCCTGATTCTGAGCTTCTCGGTGATGCTGTTTATCATCTTCATTCTGGAACTGGCTGCTGGTATCAGTGGCTATGTGCTGCGAACTGATGCTGTCAGCTTGATCAGAACCTCGCTGAGCGAATCAATGAGTAGCTACAAGAATACAACAGAGAACCCAACCACCGTTCTGTGGGATGATGTGCAGCGCGATTTCAATTGCTGCGGCGTCGACAATTCTACGGACTGGCACAAAGTGTTAAACAATACCGAACTCCCCCTTTCGTGCTGTCATATACCCATAGGAGCCATAGGCACCTTTAGCTGCATGGATGACATAAACAACGTGTTCCTCAACGGTAACAGAGGATGCTTGTCCGGCTTTGCCGATTACATAGCCGCTCATGCGGTCAGTTTGGGTGCTGCTGGCGTTGTCATTGCCGTTTTACAAGTGAGTTTACTGTGCAATTTGCACTTTTTTCTGGGATCCCTAATTTCGTTCTATTCATTTTCAGTTCTTTGGCGTCATATTTGCCTGCTATATAGCGCGAGAGATTAAAATACGCAATGGCATCTCAGGCTTCATGTAGATGATGATGTTAATAAGTAATTTCGTGAAATTCATGCAATCCTGCGATCTGAGCTTAAACCTAAGTAACACATTAATAACAATTTTTGTAGCTATTTGTGCTTTTCCGCTGCTAAATTATTCAAAATATTTGTAAACTTATAATAATTTTATGAATAAATACAATTTAGCTTTTATAGACAGCTAATGACACTTATTGCCAGTTATTAATTAAGCCTATAACACTTTCAGACCCCCATAAATAAAATCGAATCGTTAATTGTTCTTGAAAAGGACTCAATCATTCAATTTACGTTGCACTCTTTTGGTCTTGGGAATTTTATATAACCACGAATCTATTTATATAGTCGTGCAAAGATATGAATCAAGTTTTCCTCAAATTTTATATAGTATAGTTATAGCAAATATAATATACTTTTCTGGTTCTATTTTTTGATCAAGAAACTTACAACTTTGCTAAGATATGTCTTCTTTTCAAGTTATAACATTCTTCTCAATTTTTATGAAACTTTATAGGAAAATTTATGGCTAATAGGCTTAATTGGAATTCTTTTATACTTTTTAAGATTGGCTTAAAAGTAAAATAATAATAAAGCATATTCTGTATTAAAAACATGATTTGAACGTCTGTAAGCTCGTAAGCTATATATGTATCCAAATTTTACTGTTACTATTTGACTAATATTGGTGACATTTATGGTTAACTGTTATGATTATCTTTTTGAGATAATCCAAAGAGATAAAAAAAACAGTCAATTAAGAATAATAAATTTTTATTTTATTTTTCCAACATTTATTCTAATATGATTGTATAATATTAAATTGTAATACTCCAATCCCTGACACTAATATGTTTCAAAAGAATTTTCAGAAAAGAGCTCAGAAAACGTGTTGAAAAGAAATCCCGAAAGTATGCTATATGAAAATAAGTCAAAATCAAAATTTGGAATGTCTCTAGCGTATTGCCAAAGGCATATTATCATAATGCTGTTTTCTCGATTTTATTAGGCATTTTGAAATAGCTTTTATCTTTTTAGAGAGCTCAATGATAAACACTCTTTTTTTTAATATTTGCTCAGTTACTCAACGCAATTGCCAGACAGCTCTAGAATAAACGAATGCCCAACACACAGTCTATGCATGTCTACAGCGAATGAATAATTGAAAACTATTCGGTGGGTGCGGTATTATTAAAAAATCGATAAAGCATAGCGGTTGACTCATTAAAAATTTAGATATAGAATCGATATAGCACATGCTCAACGCCCCCGCTCCACCCATCAGCCAAACGACCTTGCACTTGGAATAGTTACAATTTTTAATTGTAGAAAAACCTGAATGACGTTTGTATTTACTATGGATTTCAGCAAGTTCTATATGCATATATGCGTTTATAGAGAGCGAGGAAAATTCGAATATATTCACAATTTATTGCAAAATGTAAATGAATTGGAGCATAATCTTATCGCTGACTTTTATCTAGTACATTGAGTAAAAACAATGAACATTTATTGGCTGATAAGCGACTTGAATGTTACATATAAAAAAACGTTAAAACGAGAGGCAGTTAGTTGGCTGAGAGTGCGAGAGAGGGAGAGAATAGCGGGCGAATTGGCCGAGAGCCGAGAACCGTTTGGCGCTTGCAACTGGCAACGTTCCCGTTCGGGGGCCGCTCAGTCAACGTGTAGCCAGCAAAAGTTAAAGTACGTTTTGTGGGAACATAACAACAACAAAATTGAGAAAAATTATTAAATACTATATAATTAACACATTGCAGCGAACACCCTCGGAACAGCTTTAAAAAAAGACAAAATAAAAACAAACAAGCAAAATGGCGAATCGGGAGCTGGAATTAAATTCCGGAATGCGCTGCGCCAAATATATGCTCATCATAGTGAGCTTTATGTTCGCGGTGAGTTTTCCAAAAAAAAAAAAAAAAAACGATCGAAGCACACATTTCATGATTCATAATTTGAAAAACGACGCCATTTTGTTTTCCACTTTGAACAAAAAAATATATATCAAAGCGCTGATAATAATTGCTTCTTTTTTCTTTTTTTGTTTTTCGCTTATCAGTAGTTGAGCAATTTTCGTGGTGTTTGTGATTCATATAACGTGTGTGAATTGTTCAGTTGTACAAACTCACATTAGCTCTGAGAAGCGAAGAGAATTGACAAAAGAGAAGCGGGTCAAGTGCCAGTTTGTTTTTCTTATTTCAAACAAATAAACTTTGTTCAGAACACACTTGAGTTATGTTTCTTCAGAATGCAGATAACTTCTATTAGATGGGCTCAATTCCAGAAATATTGTGAATGCAACTGAAGAGCTCACAGAGATATACGTGTCTTTTGAGACAAATGAATAACTAAAGAATATGTATTATATATACTGTCAACTTTTCGTTTTGTGTATTATTTTACATTAGAAATTCACTTCTCGTATCTGTACAATATTTTACTTGGGCTTTTCTGAGAATGGAAACTTCTTCTCAAACTGTACATCCGATCAAAAGTTATGTACACTCATTAATATAAATATATATGTAGCCAGTGTACAAATATTTGTACCCTTTGTGCGCACTCAGCTCATTCAGATAAGATAATTAGGACAGGAACAGAACTCTCGAAGAGCGCAGCTCTAGTACCAGTATGAGTATACCCCAAGGTTTTTTTTTAATTATCTGACGCAATTATTTACACAGGCCAAAAAAAAAAAAACAGCTGCTAGACCGGCGTTAAATGTTACTTATTATTCATGGAAGCACTTAAAATTTCACGTTTTGAAAAATTAAAAAAAAAATCTACTGCATTTTGCAACACTGTTTTGTCTTAATATTATAAATATAAATTTAAAGCGCGTTTTTTTTCAGTGAATGAGTTTTCATTGCCTCATTATCTATTTTATAAAAAAAAATAATGCTTAATTATTTGGAAATTTTCTTTGTTATCAGCTTTTCATTCTATATTTAACAGTCATCAAAGTGAATCAAAATATATATAAAATGGGGTATACCAACTTACTAGCTGAGTAATTTCCCAAATGAAGTAACCACAATTTGAATTCAGACTGAAACAGTCTGTGGGAGAGTTGAATAATATCAAATAACTCTTTAAATATTGAATCAAATTAAATATTTTACTATTAATTTTTAAACATTATATTTTTAATATTTAAATATTTAAGATATTACTATTGAGCTTAACTTAATATCTGAGAACACATTTCAAGAAAGTAATAAAAGAAGCTTAAATATATTTCAACGTTATTTGTAGGCTTTCAATTAGGGAATTAAACATCTAGCTCCTAGGGCTTACTCAAATAATATCGATTTGTATTGAAACGTCTCTAGCCTTAATAGGTTCTGAGATCGAAGCGTTGGATCGACTCGGCAATCGATGCTGACTAAAAATATATATATTCTTTATGGGGTGAAAACTATTTGCATAAACGTATCATATGGGCTTTACAAATTTTTAATGGGGTTGGAGTATAATATTTTAAATTATTTTTTATAAAAAAGGCTTAGCTTTCAATCCCCGCTCAATCCAAAACAAATGCCACAACCTCACGTGACTTGGCATGCAATTGCTAACTGAATTTGCAGTTTCTTATATTATTATTATTATTTTTATTTTTTGCTATTCGCAGCTGACAGCTATACTGCTGATCATGGTAGGTACTACCATTCAGGCGATTTTCGGTGACTTTAGTCTCTTTATTGATGGACACTTCTCGTCACCGCCCGCGCTCTTGATTGCCATTGGATTCATACTGATTGCCGTGGCCACACTGGGCGCCTATGGAGCGGTCAAGGAGAGCGTTATGGTGATCAATCTGGTGAGTGGTGCTCGGCTGATTTCAACATTGAGTTTGTAACGATTTAAGCATCCGTTCTGCAGTATGGTGTATGCCTGTTCCTGGTCTTCATACTGGAGGTGTCGGCGGCCATTGCCGCCTTTGTGATGCAATCGCAGGTGCGCGAAATGCTGATGCGCACCATGAACGAGGCCTTGGCCAACTACGAAACGGATACCAATGTTGCCGCCGGAGTGGACTTTATGCAATCCGGTGTAAGTATAACAGAAAGCTTCTCATATATATGTACATACATAAAATTAAAGCATATTATTTGAAGCGAATTTATCTTTTGTCTGAAATACTTTAAATGAATACTTTGCTCAGAACTTTAAAAATTAATAATTTTTTAATAATTTTTATAACTTTTCTTTAAGAAAGCAAAATTGAATCTTTCAAATTTTTTTTTTCATTCAAATATAAATTAGCTCATTCAGATATAAATTATTTTATCATGAGGCATTTTTTTTAAAGCCTACAATATATTTTCTGAAACTTAGCAATTGGCTAAAGAATTCCTTATTATTTAAATGGCAGGTAGCTGTTTAATAATGAACAAATTTTATTTTTTTGTATATTTTTGAACATCTATAATTATGAAGAATCCTTATTTTGTTTTCAGTTGGGCTGCTGCGGCGTTATTAGCCCCGATGACTGGAAGGACAACTATTCACCCAACAATAATATGACCCATCTCGATTCGGATGATGTGGTGGTGCCAATCTCGTGCTGTGGCAGCCTGGCCGAGGATCCCAACGATAACAACGAGGTGAACTGCCTGCAGCCCTACGAATATGGCTGCTTCAACAAGATGAGCTTCATATTGTCACAGAGCGCCATGCTGATTGCCACCGGAGCCACCACAGTGGCCTTTGTGCAGCTGCTGGGTGTACTCTGTGCCTTCATGCTGGCCAAGACGCTGCGTCGCAACAAGTCCATACGCGAGGCACGCCGCTGGCAGCTACAACAGAGCCTCAGCGTGCTCATCTCTGGCGGCAAGGTCGGTCTGCCGGCCAATTCAGCGATGTGCGGCTACCAGCAGCTCGAGAATAGCAACGTGCTGGGCACACAGGAACCCTATACCTACACACCCCAGAGTCCCAGCGTCAACTAGAGGCACAACAGCGACAACAACAACAACAACAACATGAATAATATAATGTAAAATATATAATTTGTTAATTAACTGAAGCCAAAGCGAGAGTCAAATAAAACGAATCAGTTCCAGACATTGTTCTAGGACTGCTGGCGCAATTGTTTGTCTAAATTCTTGAGCAGACGCAGCTGCTCCGTAATGCTGGCGGTGGAGGTGCCGCCAATCGCATCATATTGTTGCACATTGTAGCCATAGTCGGCCACGCTGGCGATGTCCGCGCCAAAGGCGGCACAAATCTGCTGCAGTTCACCCAGCGGCACCTCTGTAATGTCCACGCCCCGTTGCTCGGCCAGTGTGACAACGCGTCCAATATGATGATGAGCCTCCCGGAACGGCACGCCCTTACGCACCAGATAGTAGGCCTTAGAGTAGTAATGAGTAGATATTTATGCACTTATAAAAGGCAATCGCATTTAAGCTTATTTTAAAAACTCTGTTAAAATCCCTTAAGACACGTTCATTATTTTGGGGAATACCCAACAAGTTTGGGTGGAAACTGGGTAGACAGTTCTATTTTCAATTCCAATTAAAATGCAAACGTATTTTACCCATATTGGGAAAATCAAACTAACGGGCAGACAAAGGAAAAACCGGACAATATATGTATAATATAAAACAGTCTCAACTCACCCAGTCGGTGGCTAACATATCTGAGCTGAGCGCCGCTTCCAATTGATCTCGCCGCACTTGCATGGTTTCTATCACACCCACAGCCACGTCCAGACTCTGCGACAGCTTATCGAAGGCCTGAAAGCAGTATTGCTTGTCGAATTGCAAATCCTTATTATAGGTAGAGGGTGTGCCCTTGATGGTCATCATAATGCCTGTCAGATTGGATGTAATCAGACCAGAGATGCCGCGTATTAGCTCCAGACTGTCCGGATTGCGTTTCTGTGGCATCAAACTGCTACCACTTGAGAAACTATCTGCGATTTTGATAAAATCAAATTCCTTGGTGCTGTAAATAATGAGATCCTCGGCAAGTCTTGATAGATGCAGACTAACCATTGAACAGCAGTAGATAAAGTCAACTACAAAGACAAAACAGAGGGTATAAATAATTTAAAAAATTACTAGTAGTTATAACAGTGGGCTTATGTTGGGTAAATATATGTTGCAGAGAGGAGACATCTAAATACATAATATTTATTTAACTTTACCAAATCGAGCGGAATTGAATTGAATTTGTATAACTTATTAAAATTCATATTTGCTCATCCTACAGCTGCCTTTCTATGCGATTTTCATGAGTTTAAGCAAGGCCAGCAGACACTGGTTATTTTCATAGCGTTGTGTATCCAGTGTTTTGATAGACACTCACCTACAAAATCGCGATCTCCCACTGCATGCATGCTATTGCCCGTAACTGCAGCAAAACCAAGACGCTCCGCCAGCCAAATGCGATCAATGCCCAAAGGATTGCCGGCAACGGCACCGCTACCCAGTGGCAAAACATTTGAGCGTTCCCGCAGCTCAGCCAGGCGTTGGCAATCCTCGCGCAGAGCGAAAGCGTGCGAGAGTAACCAGTGGGAGAATTGAACGGGCTGTGCGCGCTGCAGGTGCGTATAGCCTGGCATAAGCACGCCCAGATGCGACTCGGATTGCGACACAATCGATTCAATCAGCAGACGCAGCCGGCTCAGCGTCTCGCGTATGGCCTTGCGCAGCCAGAGCTTCATGTCGGTGACCACCTGGTCATTGCGGCTGCGTCCCGTGTGCAGGCGCTTGCCCAGCTCGCCGGTTAGCGCAACCAGCAGGCGCTCGTTCACTGTGTGAACATCCTCGTCGCTGGGCTCAAACTTGACGAGGCGTTCAACCCAATCGTAACGTATTATCTCCAGACTCTTGACCAGCTTATCGCATTCGGTGGCATTCAAATGACCCGCACGCATCAGCGCCTCCGCATACGCCTTGCTCGCATCCAAATCATCTGCATATAGGCGGGCATCTTGGGGCAGACTGTTGTTCAGCTCCTGCAACGCCTCGTTGGGCTTCTCACTGAAACGTCCACCCCACAGCTTATAGGAGTTGTGGCTTTGGTTTTCTTGCGGCCTCTGCGTCATTTAGCTGTGTTGTTTCGCGTTGACGATTGTGCACTGAATGCGAGCAGCTCATGTTATTTAATTCTATAAAAAAAATAATCGTGCATATATTTTCGATTTATTGTGCTTCGTTGGTTTGTATAATCATGGCCTTATCTTTGAAAATATACGTTACTTTTCCAAATGACTTTATGGCCGCTTGTTTAAACGATAGAGTCAAAATGATGCGACGTTTTTAGTTGAAGGAACTCGAGCACAGTGGTTAAAATAAATTTGTTTTGGTTTTTTTTTTTCGACATGATTTGCAGTTGTTGTGTATTTGCATCAAACTTTAACAAATTTAATTTAACATTGCAAATATATATTGCTTTAAATTAAAATTATCAAAGTGCAGAAGTATTTTTAACAATTTTTTTTAATTATCTTGCTACTTGATATGCACATTAAAAATAAAACTCTTTTTTAGCAACTAATATAAAAATAACGACTTAAATATTTATATGTGTAGTCATATCTTCTTCCCACAAACAATAAAAACATCTTTTTTTTCTTCACTTATTTAGATAACAATAGAAAAAGCTTGATTATGAATATAAAATTTACTCTTCACAAAAATGCAAATGCAAAATACTAAAAATACTATCCATATATTTAACATTTAATTTTTATAACAAATTTCTTGCTCATAAAAAAATAATAATTACGACCCATTTATGGATGTATTGCAACCACTGTGTACCTAGCAGAACAAAAAAGACACATCACTTTGACTTTATGTCTAAGGGGAGCCCAAAAAAAAAACGCCGCTAGTTTTTGTTATTTTTTTAATTTGTACTCTTGACTTAGTCTACAAGCAAACAAAAACAAACAATTAAAAACACAAATACGACGCCTTATCAACTACATACATAGAACACCAGCACTTTAAGTGTAGCCTCTGACGTGCAAGATTACAGATGTGGATTGTGATAAGCGCGACTGACGATACTTGCTTGCAGCTAGTTAAGATCCTCCAGAAACAATTTGTTCAGCTCACAGCACAGACGATTCAATGGCAGACCCATCACACAATAAAAGTCACCATCAATGCGGCGTATCAGAGCGCCTCCAGGACCCTGAACGCCATAGGCGCCTGCTTTGTCGCTGCAGCGGGAGAGAAATAAGTTTCCAAATACCTTGTTCCACTAAGCATGCAATACATAGAGTCGGTCTTGGGCAGTATTAATGGCCTGTGAGTTGTTCTTCAATGAGTGGATGATAAATGAGGTGCGATGTGTGTGACTTTCTAGGAAGTTATTCCGGTTCGTTCAAATCCTCACATGTTTGGCCTCGTCCAGGCAGCCAATTAAAGGTGAACCAAATGTATCGCGTACTTCCACTTGCACTTACAAAGACGAAGGGCTTCTTCAAACCTTTCAATCTAAATCCTACCTATTTATATATTAACACAGTTTGCCCTGACTAACAAATTGGCCGACTGACCATAACTTTATTTTATACATGTTTCAGAGTAATTTCAAAGATAATGAAGAAAATTCACTTGATACATGTTTCCCACATTTCGGAAAATTCACGGTACTATGTCAAAAACAAGAAGCTGCGCTCTTATGGGCGAAGTTTCCGTCCGATGGACCGCAAGAATATTTTTAAAGTTTTACGTAGTTTGGGTTCATTTAAAATAAAAAAAAAAAAAACAGCTATCTTCGGCGGGCCAAAAATTAAATACCTTTTCATAGCTATTGCTTGGACAGTAAACAAAACCACAACGGAAAACAAATAATAAAATGCACACTCAAACGTGGGAAAAAGGTCCGTGCATGCTCGACCCGTAAATGTTATCATGCATTCGATTAGCTACCCACATCACCAATAAATAGGTGGAACCAAAAACTTGCAAGTCGACGTGACAAAACACTTTAATTAGTCCACATTGCTCCGCACTCGAAAGGGAAGCAATCAGACGAAGTACATACATAGATATAAAAGATCTGTTGGAGAGCAAATCAAGGCAATGTTTTTAAGTGGGAGGCAAATAGATAGCAGATACATTCATCTTTTCCATTTCCATTTTTCCATTGGGTTCTATGATGAGGGGTACAGAGCAACTACTAGTCGGCTACTCCCTGCTAGACCAGTCCGTTTCTATACTCTATAGAAATATTGCTATTTGTATAATGTATTGGTGGAATTGTGTGTGTCTAACAAATGAACCAATTCCATAGTCTCTGTACATATATTCTTCATCAGATCGACGAACCGAGTCGATCTAGCAATATCCGGCTGTCTGTGCATCTGTACGAATCCGTCAATATCAGATATCTAATATCAATATCTAGACACTCGAATATTGAAATATATGAGCTCTCGTTAAACGTTTAAGGGTTTTTTTTAGCAGCTTTGGAAGACTATAAGATACTCTTAAAAATACCCTTAATACACCCCCTACTAAAGGGCAGTTTGAGTGTTTGTTGCGGCACTTACAGTGGGTCACCGCTGTCCACATAACTTTGTATCTGCGCCTCCGTTAGTTGGCCAAAATAAACGTCGGCGGTTTCCGTAAATTTGCGCACGCCTAGCGCATGCTTGAAGACGACGCCCGTAAAGACGCGATTGCAGGCACCAGAAAGGCTGTAAAGTGTGAATATAAGTGGATTTTTTATTGGGGCAAAGGTTAAACCTTACTTGGTCAGCATGCGCACAGCATCGGCTGCGTCCTTGGGCTTGCCATAGATCTCCTTGCCCAGGGTGACCATCGTGTCAGCCGCTATTACAAGCAGTTTTTTGCTATCGTCCACGCCGCTCAAGCGCTGGAACACCTCCTCCGCCTTGCCCAGCGCGGTAGCCTCTATGTAATCGGAGAACTCTTTAAAGTCCGCCACGTCCAGATTCTCCTCGAACGTGGAGGGGCACAGCTCCGCATTCAGACCCTGCATAACACATGTAGTTTAGTTTCAGTACGTGAAATGAGTTGGCGCAATCGAAACACTTGCCAACATTTGTACCAGTTCCTGGCGGCGTGGCGAGCCGCTGGCTAGGACAATGCGGTAATTGCTCAGCAAATGTTTAATGGGCGCCAACATTGTTTATAACAATTAATTTATATCTCACTGATGTAAAAGCGCGGCAAGATCGGCAACAATGCAAAACAAAACAGTGTGCACAATAATGTATTTTAAATTTATCGATAACTGATAAAAATATACTAAAATTTCGATTCGCAGTATTTATACTAGCATACCTTCACAAAAACGTTTAAATTTTTGCTAGAGTTAAATAATTGGAGCTGGAATTAGTTTTAAAGGATGGTGCTATAAACGTATGCTATTATAGTACCATATATAACGTGCCAAATCAATGGAATAAAATACTATATAATATTATAGTTTTTATTTATATTTTTTGATATTTTAGCAGCATACTAGGAACGTTGCAACGGAAAATCGAACGGCCGCCACAATTTATCGGTCGATTTCAAGCGACGCGAACCTACTCGGCGGCGCCGCGCGAGTTAGTTTGCCAAAAATCATTTGTTGTGCAATTGCTAAAAGAAAATAATTCTAGTCGCGACAGGCGAGTGAAAATTTTACCGTTAGCCGTTGGCTGCTGCAGCCGTACGTGAATTAACAACCGAGTTGCCTTGATATAAAGACAAGTGCATAGAAATAAGACCCGAAACATAATGAAGAAGTAGCATGAATTTCGCTTGTGTACATGTGTGTATGGCGGTGTGTTTGTGTGTGTGTCTGTATTAGCTTAGTGATATTTTTAATTGTCGCCACCGCCGTCGCCGTCGCTGCCCCATTGTCAAATTCAAAGTTCCGCTGTGGCGACCGCATTTTCCGTTAGTCAACATTTACAGCTAAGCAGCGGCAGAGCTCTTGCCTACGTGCCCACACAAAAATAATAACAATAAAGCCCCCCCCTCCGACCGACATACGCCAGCGTCACCTTGAAGTGCCGCCGCCGCAGTCACAAGGCGCACGCGAGCCGTCGGTTCTTGCCGTTTCCTCGCCTCCCTCGCCCAGAACAAAGTTCAAGTCTGGGGCAGCCGCTTTTGCAAGGTTGGTGATAGAACCTCCAAACAAAATGAAACAAAAAAAAATGAGTGCACACATACAATTGCATATGTATAAGATAAGCGTATTAATTGTTAAATTCCAATAATTGTGCTTTTAATCAACAATAAAAACAACAAATATTTGTTTATTTGTGTCAGCGACTTTTTTGTGTGCCAAATTCCAAATATTGCGTAAACATCATTCGCCCGCGTCAATCAACATAAAATTTGCTTGTAATGTCTGACGCGCTCGGGCTGCTTCAAAAGTTGTGAACCGTCTTATGAATATGCCAAAGTTGCTGCCAGGGAAATTTGTAAATGCAGGGAAATTTCACTTTCCAAATCTTAATATTTAGGGAATTTTAAATAGCTACAGTGCAACTAGTAGAAAACAATAGCAATTTGTTGATGAATGATGAACAAGTTTTATTAAATTATTAATGCAATCAGATTTCTAAACAACCCATTTTTTTTTTATATTCATACAACTAATAATAAATTACTTTGATATTATTCTTTTAAAACACATTTTATCAGAAGAAAATTTTGGAAATTTAATAACACTTTTATTATAATAAGAGCACATATTTAAAAAAAAGCCATCTACTGCTTGAACAGCCCTCGCTCTATTATGTTGTTGCCAGAGCCAAATAGGAAATGTAACGCATATTTATTTACAAATTGATTTTTGTTTTATTAAATTTATAGCTAAACGTTATGCAAATACAATTTAAAGTTGAATACTAGTAAAAACCGGTAAATTAAATGTGTTTAACAAAAATTCCGTGAATTGTCATAGATCTAAACTTGAAAATTCCAGAAAAAACTGATTTTTTCGCAAAATACAAAAAAACAAAAAAAACTAGCTGTAAATTGCTGTTCACTGCACAGTATGACCCCATAAAGAAAGCGATGCCTGAAAAAACTACATATATTATATTGCAGATGTGCTCATGTAAATCTGCATTCATGCTTGCATACATACATACATACACATTCATTTGTATTCACATTTGTGCTGGCAATAAACAAACTAATAATTCTTTGTCTCTCCCTCTCGCGCTTCTCTTTCTCTCTCTCTTCTTTTAGCACACATACATCACGTGTTTGCGTCGACCACAACATTGTAGCTAAACATCACGCGCTCACTCAACTGCAAATTCGCCGCTCTCGCTCACAGTCCTAGAATTACGCTCACACGATGTTCTCACTACAGCAATTGATCAAAACGACAGCCGCAGCGTCGCCAGGTGGCAGCAGCGTAGGTGGCGCTGCTGATCTATACAAGTTCCTTAGGCAACTCAGCAGCAGCAGCGGCAGCGTCGCGAGCACACGCGGCGTGACGTCAGCGGCGGCAGCTGAAGCTACAACTACAGCAATACCAAAGCAATCTAGTCAAGCGCCGTCAAGCGAATTCAACTTCAGCGACAGCGTCAGTCACAATTCGCCTTCGATAGCGCACGGTTGCTGTTCGAGCGAATCGAATTCGGAGTCGGCGCACTTTGTCAATTTATCAAAGCAATTTATACGCAATTTAGTGCAGCAGCGCAGCCAGGACATACAGCGACAGCTACACACGCAGCGCAGCGAGAATAACGCCAAATCCTCGCATCCGCAGCAGCAACAGCAGCAGCAGCAACAACAACAGACAACCACAAAGTTTGCCATGTCCTCACTGGCAGCGGAGCCCCTCCAGGCGGAAATCTCCACCAGCGAAGGCAGCAGCATAACAGCTGCTGCGGCAGCTGCTGGCGACGGCGCCGCCTGCCACGACGCAGCCTCCAGTGCGGGAAAGAAGCCCTGCTTCAGCACAGGCCTCGCAGACATTCTGCAGTTTATGGAGCTCATTGGAAACCTGAAAGTGAGTGCAAACAAAAAGAAAACCGAAAAGAAAAAAACAAACCTGTTTCTTCTGCCGCCTTCTCAGGGCTACGCATCGATTTTTCAAAGCCAGGAGCTGATTTTTTTTTTCTGTTGTGATTTCGCCCGTTCCCCCTTGCTATATATTTCGTCTGTTTTATTTTTGTTTGTTTTGTAATTTTCGGTTCATTTTTCGAATGTTTTTATCGCCTACACAAAATCGCGTGACTCTGAGATTAGTTTTATTTTTTCTTTTTCTTCTCCTCGCTCCGTTTGCTAACATAATTGTCGAAAGTGTGTGGGCGGGCGGGCGGTGGCAGGCCTTGTGCTTTTCGATTTCGAAAACTTGAGGTTTCGACCGTGAAAGTTTTTTTGAATGTTAAAAAAAAAATTGAAAATATTTGCATGTAACAAAATGTCTAATGACATCAGCTGGGCTGACAAAATTTGTACTAAAAGCAAGAAAAATAATTGTTGAAAATATTTAAAAAACACAAGAAAACAGAAAATTTACAGGCTAAATAAATTAATTTACTGAAATATGCCCATTTCAAAAAATAACATTATATAAAATATAGTTTTTACCTGAACAAAACATATACAAATTTATCTATTTGACCTGAAAAGCAAACGTAATTTTATTTCGATTTGAAATTCTGAAAGCGAAAACAATGCAAAATTTATTGTTTTGCTTTTTCTTCTTCTTTTTCCTTTCTGTGTATCCAACAAAAATGCTCGTCTGTGAAAAATAGATATATACAGTCTTTCGGTCGAGATTTTGTACAGCAGATATGTAAATAGATATACAAAGCTTTTTTTTTGCGGTATGTTTTGCTTTTATTGTTCTTTTAATGGAAGCTTTTGTGTGTGTGCGGTTGGGCATTTCGTATGTACGGACTGTGTATACCCTGCAACCATTAAAAGGGCATATTAACTTGGAACAATATTTATTGTAATTAATCCATTAATTCGCCACTTTGTTAGACATATATCGATTGCAATTTTTGTGTTCAGAACAAAGCTCGCTTGGACCTTGGTATAGGGTATTATTTGATTGGACACGCGCGAATGCACTCATTATTATTATTACTATTTTCGTGAAACACAAACAAACCGCAATATCCCAGCTGCCACACGCTCAAGTTGACGCCCATTTCCCCGCACCGCTGCGTCCCCTTTCCACAGTTGTTTGCGGTATCTAATCAGCATAATTGATAATTCCAATATGACAAATGAGGTTCAAGAGAATTCGAATCGCATTGCGTTATCGAAGTGTCGCATGCAATTTAATCGAACATCGATTCGACAATGACAATTCGCCTAATCGAACTTTGAGCTCAGTTTTCAAACGCAAAAGCGATTCAGCCAAAGTTTCAAATAGCTCACGTGAGCACTAAAAAAAAAAAACAAATACTTTTTGTTTTTATGTGAAATTATTTGGAACTTTGTGAAATGGCTGAGACAGGCAGATTTTGTATAATATATAAACATTTGCAAGGCGATTTGGCAAATAAAATATTCATATCTCATATATATATATATGTACTTGGCTAAAAATCTATTAAGAAAATATATAGAGCGTAGAAGAAAACGCAACTTGTGACTTTGATCTTGGCCTTCAACAATTTCGAAATATATCTTTGCATATTATATATCTATATCTATAGAGAGAGATAGAGAGAAGGAGAACAGCTGTGCGCCTCAGCGGGGTGAAGGGCGGCTTGGGGAATTGGCTGCGTCTGTGAATAGCAGCTGTTGTTATAAAATATATAAGAGCTCACACGTAATCGCAATATTGGGTTACTCAGAAGGCAAAGAAACAATGAATACAATTAATGGACGACTAGAAAATGCCCTGTAAACAGGTTGAATACATGAATTTCTTTTTTTCTTAGATTTATAGAGTAAATAGTTATGTTATATTATGGTAGAGAGACGATGCAGTTTTTTCGAAGATCAAATACCCTATGAAGAGGTGCTATATTGCATTTTTTATAGACATATATTACTCCAATATATTTATTTTGAATTTTGCTTAAACTAATTGTTTGCAATGCAAAATAAGTAATTCTTTTTATCAGGTTACATTTCTAAAGCCCTGAATAATGAAATATGTTATTATATATTAATTACGTGAATTACTCATAAAACCTTTGCCCATTGTATTCAGCGTTTTCATAGAAAATAACGAAATTAATCCAATTTCTTAATGCTTTATTTTATTCCATTTAATTCCATT